AGATAGAGAGAAGGAAAGAGAAAGAGATAGAGAAAAAGAAAGAGAAAGAGAAAGAGATAGAGATAGAGATAGAGATAAAGAAAGAGATAGAGGAAGAGATAAAGACAGAGAAAGACAACGCGACAGAGAAAGAGAAAGAGAGAGAGAGAAAGCCCGTGAGAGAGAAAGAGAGAGAGAAAGAGAAAGAGAAAGAGAGAGAGAAAGAGAAAGAGAAAGAGAAAGAGAAAGAGAAAGACGCAGCACAGATCGCTTTCGCCGCGAGGGCCCCTTCAGCCGCAGGTCCCGCAGCAGGGACAGAGACAGGGGGGGGCCCCCCTTCCGCCGCAGCACGTGGCGTTCTGAGGGTCGCAAGGCCTATCGCTTTGACTCTCCCCCCCGCATGGATGAAGGAGAAGAGTCTGGTGCTGGTGTAGCAGCAGCAGCAGCAGCAGCAACTGCAGCAGCAGCATTTGCATCTGTTCCGGGTGCTGCAGCAGCTCTTAGTGGGGTATTAGGTAGTGCAGCAGGAGCAGCAGCAGCAGCAGCAGCAGGGGGCCCTCTAGGTACAATAGGTGGAGCAGCAGGAGGTTTAGGAGGGGCCCCTGGTTTAGGTCTAGCAGCATTGGGTGGTCCGAGTGCATTAGGAGTTCCAGCAGCAGCAGCAGCAGCAGCAGCAGCAGCAGCAGCACCAGGAGCAGCAGGAGGTTTATTACAGCTAGACCCAGCAGCAACAAAAGCAGCAAGAGAATTATATATAGGAAATCTACCACCAAACATAGAAGTACCCCAATTGCTTGAGTTTCTTAATGCTGCTATGGCTGCTGTTGGGGGGGGCCTCCTACCGGGGCCCCCAGCTGTGAAAGCATGGCGAAGCAGCGATGGCCACTACGCTTTTGTTGAGTTCAGAACCATGGAGGAGGCATCGAACGCAATGCAGCTGAACGGGTTGAGTTGTTTAGGTTTTAATTTGCGTATAGGGAGGCCAAAGACCTATCCCCTAGAGCTGCAACATATAGTACCCCCACCAACTATACCTCTGCTGCATCCTGCTGCTGCTGTTGCTTCAGCTATTGTTAATCAAATAACACAACAACAAACACAAATACAAAATAATGAACATGCTGTCGCTCTTAATCCTAAAGCTGCACTTGAAGCTGCACAAGCTGCTGCAAGAGCTGCACAAACACAAAATGGAACTGATGGTATGGTACTTGTTTTTATTTATATTTATATATATGGATATATATATATATATATATATATATATATATATATATATATATATATATATATATATATATATAT